TGATTTGCTCATTTTAGCCACTCTGACTGGCGTGAGGTGGTACCTCAGTGTGGTTTTGATTTGTATTTCCCTGATGAGGAGGGATGCTGAGCATCGTTTCATGTGTCTGTTGGCCATCTGGATGTCCTCTTTGAGAAGTGTCTGTTCATGTCTTCTGCCCATTTCTTCACTGGGTTGTTTGTTTTTCGGGCATGTAGTTTGGTGAGTTCCTTATAGATTCTGGATATTAACCCTTTATCTGATATGTCATTTGCAACTATCTTTTCCCATTCTGTTGGTTGCCTATTAATTTTCTGGGCTGTTTCCTTGGCTGTGCAGAAGCTTCACCTTCTGTATTTTAACACCAAGTTTAATAATATGTTGTGAATAAACTTTCCTTAGCTTGTTCCTTAAATTAGGATGTGTGACTTCCCTCAGTGACATTACGTGAGCGCGTAAACTACATGTGTATATGTTTTAATAAATACTCCCTCGACCTTTAGAGAGCTGAGCAGGATTCTGAAAACAGTCCTTAATTCTTCCTTCCTTCCTTCCTTCCTTCCTTCCAGCAAGCTTATTTATTTACTTTGAGAGAGAGCATGAGCAGAGTAGGGGCAGAAAGGGGGGAGAGAGAGAGAGAGAGAGAGAGAGAGAGAGAGAGAGAATCCTAAGCAGGCTCCGCACTGTTGGTACAGAGCCCTATGCAAGACTGGAACTCACTAACTGTGAGATTATGACCTGTGCTGAAATCAAGAGTCAGATGCCTAACCAACTGAGCACCCAGGCATCCCTGAACAGTCCTTAATTCTTAGTCTGTTTCTGGCAATCTGTTAATTTATTGGGAGAGTCCTTTTTCATTTGCTTTCCAATTGGCATAGTAAAGAGCACATCTATATGCTACAACTTGATTCTGTCTCTTTTTCTGTTTTATATGTTTTCTTTTACGATGTTCCAGTTTCTACATGTAGAATTAAATAAAAAATAAAACTTGTAAAGCTGTAACATTTCACGTGGAAATGCTGCCCAGCCTTCACCAGCTTTAGAAATCTGACCTTTGCTGATGGCTGCAACAAAGCATCACCTAAAATACATACATACATACAGTCCCTAAATATCTTGGAATGAAAAAATCTCTAATGTTTCTGAGATTGTTTTAATCACCTCAGGACTCTGAAAGGTTGTTTCTTTTTTTTTTTTTTTTTTTAATGTTTTATTTATTTCTGAGAGAGAGAGACAGTGTGAGCAGGGGAGGGTCAGAGAGAGAGGGAGACACTGAATCCGAAACAGGCTCCAGGCTCTGAGCTGTGAGCACAGAGCCCGACATGGGGCTCGAACTCGCAAACCGTGAGATCATGACCTGAGCCAAAGTCGGATGCCCAACCGACTGAGCCCCCCAGGCGCCCAAGGTTGTTTCATTTTGATTCAAGAAGAAAACAGCTTGGTAATTCTGATGGTGTTGGAGCTGAATCATGAGAAAGTATTTCTTCCACTTCATTATTGTAGTGTTTGTCTGATTGTAAGGTCTTTAAACATCCTATGAGTAGTTGTTTGTTTTCTAAAATACACAGTAAGGTATTTAGGGAATTAATGTATTGATTTTATATTTGTAGCCAGAAGTTGAAAGAGAAGAAATTATTGGCAAAGAAGATGAAACTTGAACAGAAGAAACAGAAAGAAGGTGAGTGGTAACTGCTTTTCTTGGTTGTGACCTTGCTCAGTGTTGGTTCCCAGGGCTGACCTGTCAGGAGTCTGGAGGTGGTTGGTGGCCACTGAAGATGAGAGGACTTCCCTCCATTAGTTAAGACTCCTTTCATTGCAGGTGTCAGAATGTTAAACTGGTGTGAGCAAAAAGAAGGATACTGGCTGGGTCAAGTCAGGACAGACTGCCCTTCGGGGATGGCTAGTAAGTGGGCTTGGCGATGTCACCGGCATTCTCTGTCTCCCTCTGTCCCTTGGCTCCTTGTCCGCAGTCAGGTGCAGGCCCTCCCTGTGGTTGTGGGGTACCTGGGGCTGTGCCAAGCCTCATTCTTGTCCAGTAGGAGAGACTGAGGGGATGTCCCTAGCAAAAGTGTGTTTGTGTGCTTTTGTCCTTTGATTGAGTCACTTGGGAAGTCTGTTAAGAATGCTTTGGGCTATTAAAAAAAAAAAACCAACAAATCAGAAAAGTAGCAGTAGTTGAACACAGAGGAGTTCATTTCTCTTACATGATAAGAAATCTCTCTTACATGATAAGAAATCTGGTGGTAGGGGGCCACCTGTTGCGTTTCAGCAGCTCCGGAGCGACAGGCCCAGCATCCCCTTCACCTCTATTGGGCCTTTACTTTGTGGGTGTGAGGTGGCTGCTGCATCTCCTGGCATATTACCTGTGTATCTATTGGAACATACCTTCAACATCTTGGCAGGCAGTTTACAATTTGCCTTAGCCTTCACGCCCTCCTTGCACAGAGCTTCAAGGTCAGCCACAGGTGAGATCAGGGCCATCACTGGTCTTTCTTAGATGTGTACACAGCTCCACATGTGGCTGTCTAAATTCTCGACTTTTCCTCTTAGGTTTTGATGGATTTCTTGATTGCTTCAACTCTTACCACCTTAGGCAGCTGCAATGTTAAACAGTTGCCACTGGTTGTTTTTGATAGACACCCTTGGGAAAGGGTTGTTTGCACTGAGGTTGAATAAAGATAAGCCTTGGGAGTGGAAGTTTCTGGGGAGCAGCTAGATAGGTCAAATAGGGACAGTGCTCTGGGTATGGAACTTCTGAGGACCTTCCCACACAGTTTTCTTCCTCCAGTGGCTGCCAGGCAGCTGGCTTCCACATTTGCCTGTGGTGATGAGGGCAGCCTTGGATATGGTGAGAGAGAGAAGTTGGAATACCACAGAACTTGCTGTACTTACCAAGAGTCAGCCATTTTTTCTTGAACAGTCCAAGGAACATTTCTAGAGTTCTGAACAAATTGTTTTTTGACAGTTGTCAATGTTCTTTATTATTTTTATGGAGGAGCAGATTTTTAGAGGTCCTTACTTTGCCATTCTGAAAGTGCTTCCATCCCTTTAAACTTTACCCTATTTTTTCTGAAATGTTTCTTGGGGGCACCTGGGTGGCTCGGTCGGTTGAGCGTCTGACTTCGGCTCAGGTCATGATCTCCAGGTTCATGAGTTCAAGCCCAACATCAGGCCTGCTGCTGTCAGCGCAGAGCCCACTTCAGATCCCCTGTCCCCATCTCTCTGCCCCTCCCCTGCTTGCACTCTCCCAGAAATAAATAAAACATTTAAAAAATATATATTTTTTTTATATTTTCCTCAGGCACCTGGGTGGCTCAGTAGGTTGGGCATCTGACTTCAGCTCAGGTCATGATCTCACAGTTTGTGGGTTCAAGCCTTGTGTCAGGCTCTGCACTGGCAGCTCAGAGCCTGGAGCCTCCTTCAGATTCTGTCTCCCTTTCTCTCTCTTCCCCTCCCCTGCTTGGTCTCTCTCTCAAAAATAAATAAGGAAACATTTAAAAATAAATAAAATGCATTTAAAAACTTTAAAAACAATTTTCTTAAAAAATAGGTTTCATGTAGATATCAGATGATTGAGTAATTTTTTTCCCATTCTGAAAGTCTCTTTTTATATTGATCTGTTTGGATTTTAGGGCTACCATTTTATTTGGGGGTTCTGTGGTTCCTTCTGTATTTCTGTTTCTTTTTCTCTGTCTTTTGTATTATTTGAACATTAAAAAAATTTTTTTAATGTTGTTGTTGTTTTCTGAGAGAGAGAGAGAAAGAGCGTGAGCAAGGGAGGGTCAGAGAGAAGGAGATACAGAATCTGAAACAGGCTCCAGGCTCTGAGCTGGCTGTCAGCACAGAGCCCGACACGGGGCTCAAACCCACAAACCGTGAGATCATGACCTGAGCCAAAGTCGGACGGTCAGCCGACTGAGCCACCGAGGTGCCTCTGAACATTTTTATTATCCCATTTTAATGTGTAATGTTTAATTCTGGTTTTTTTTTTTTTATTTCTAGGAGAGAGAGAGAGAGACAGCGTGAGCAGGGGAGGGTCAGAGAGAGAGGGAGTCACAGACTGAAACAGGCTCCAGGCTCTGAGCTGGCAGTCGGCACAGAGCCCGACGCTGGGCTCGAACCCACAAACCGCGAGATCATGACCTAAGCGAAAGTCGGACGCTTAACCGACTAAGCCACCCAGGCGCCCCTAATTCTGTTTTTAACTATATCTCTTTGTAGCTTTTTAGTAGTTCCTCTAGAGCTTGCCATATATGTACTGTTTTCACAGTCTACTTAGAACCAGTATTCAAGTAGAGTGTGGAAATTTCTCACCATATAGGCCCCCTGACCTTTTATGTTTATGTGGCTCTTATGTATTACACCTACATACATTGAAAACTCTAGTGGGTAATGTTATTATTTTCATTTTTCAGTCATCCAGTACATTTTAAGGATCTTGAGGAGAATTGTCTAGAATGGTAAATAGTAACCAGATAGTTACCATTTCTGTTGTTCTTCTTTTGTCCCTGATGTTCCACAATTACCTCTGGCATCATTTCCCTTCCTTCTGAAGAACTTCCTTCAGTCATTTGGTTAGAAGAGGTCTGCTGGCTATTAATTTTCTTGGCTCTTCTTCATATGAAGCCGTCTTTATTTCACCTTTGTTCCTGAAGGACATTCTCACTAGATGCAAAATTTGGGAGTTACTTGGTTGACTCACTCAGTTAAGTGCCCAACTCTTGATTTTGGCTCAGGTCATGATCTCACTTTTCATGAGTTTGAGCCCCACATCAGGTCATGATTTCCCTGTTTCAGAGTTCGAGCTCCGTACTCCTTGCGGAGCCTGCTAGGGATTCTCTCTCTCTCCCTCTCTCTCTTCCCCTCCCCTGCCTGCTCTCACTTGCTCACTCTCAATCTCTCCCTCTGCCCCTCTCTCAAGTAGATAAACTTTAAAAAAAAAAAATTAAGGTTGGTAGTTTTTTCTTTCAGCACTTTAGAAATACCATTCCACTTTCTCTGCCCTGCATAGTTTCTGATGAAAATTTTGTAATCCTTCAAATTGTTCTATCATTATTTTTCTCTGGTTGCTTTTAATATTTGTATCTTCAGTGTCAACAGTTTGATTATGTGTCTGCACATGGATTTGTTTTAATCCTGTTTGGAGTCCACTGAGTTACTCAAATCTATAGTCCTGTATGTCTTTTTCAAATTTGGAATAAATTTTTTTCAACCTTTCTTGTTTCTGTTCTTCCTATTGGATAATTCCTACTGATCTGACTTGAGACTATGTCTTTCCCATGCCATCTCTCTTCTGCTGTTGATCCTATACTATGTTTTTTTCAGAAAAGTTCTAAAATTTCCACTAGATTCTTCTTTATATGCAGCCTTCTATTCGCTGCAGTTTTCTATCTTTCCATTCATTTCAAGGGTGTTCACTTTTCCTGGAAAAATTTCTAAGTAGCTGCTTTAAAGTATTTGTTAACTCCAGCATCTAAGTCATCTTAGCATCAGCAGTTGTTGATTATCTTTCCCCATGCAAGTCGAGATTTTCCTGATTTTTCATATGCGTGGTAATTTTCTTTCTTTTTTTTAATGTGTATTTATTCCTGAGAGAGAGAGTGTATGTGAGCAGGGAGAGTCAGAGAAAGAGGGAGATACAGAATCTGAAGCAGGCTTCAGGCTCTGAGCTAGCTGTCAGCACAGAGCCCTACATGGGGCTCGAACCCATGTACCGTGAGATCATGACCTGAGCCGAAGTCAGAGGCTTAACCGACTGACCCACCCAGGTGCTCCTGCCTGGTAATTTTCTACTGTATCCCAGGCATTTTGCATATTCTGTCATGAGGCTTTGGTCGTGCTCATGCTTGGCTTAGCAGGCAGGCAGCCTAGTTGTGTTCCGAACACAAGTTCTCGCCAGCCGCCTGTAGGCTGTGATTGTGATTCCAGCGTCGGTTGGGTTTTCCAAGCTTTGCTGTGTTCTCCAGGTGTGTCTTGTATGTGCCACCCAGGGGCCAGGTGGCATTTAGTTCTTTGAGTTGGGATCTCAGAGCGCTGGGTATGACGATTAGGGCCACATCCCTGCACGGGCTGTCCGGGTAAGCCCAGGGATTCAGAAACTTCTGATCTTTTCCTCCGTGACCGCTCCTGTACTTCCCGATTTCCCGGGACCCTCCTTTTCAGAACTCCAGGCAGAAAGCTGGGGCCTTAGTTACCACTCTGGTGCATCCTTCCTCCAGCCGCCCCTGCATCCAGGGCGGAGGAGGAGAGCAGCAGGCTTGCCCTGCCGTCTCAGGACACACCACTCCCGTGATCCAAGAGGAAGGTTCCCTTCTTTTGAGGTGTTGTGCCTGCAGGTCCCCATTGCCGCCACAGTTGCTGTTGCTGCTGTGACTCTGGTAGGATTGCCTGGGCAGTAGGATGTGAGAGAACGAAGGAGAAAAGCAGACACACAGAATTTCCCTTACTCTGAGCATTAGGAATCCCCTTTCTTACTTCTCAAACTAGAAGTAGAGGGTTTCCTGTTTTCTGTCTGTGCCCAGGCCTCACTTCTGCATGTTGGATCATCCTGAGTCTGGGCTGGGAGAGCTTGGAGAGGGGAAGACCCCAGGAATTCAAAACTGTTCCAGCGGCACTTTGTATGCTGTCCTTTTTCCGCAGTCTGCTCACTTCTCCAGAGTCCGTCAGTCCCGGTCCTGT